CAGAGTGGAGTTAAATATCATACATGTAAAAAAGCCAAAGAATGGTTTATTTACTTCTTAAAAAATAACACTCGTGGATTGGCCTGGAAACTCACCAGACTAGTCACTAATTGAAAATATTTGATCTATTTGTAAAGAATTTTACCCAACCAATAAACAAGATCTATAAAAAAAAAAAAAATGTATGAAAATTTGGTCTGAAATTACTTTTGAACGATGTGAATTACTTATTGATTGTATGCTTAAAAGTAAGGTGATCAATTGTCCTCCTTTTGTAAGTTCTGTCCTCCTTCAAAAACGTGTCCTCCTACATGTCCTCCTTTTTGATATTTGAAGACTAATCTGTAAATCTCTGTATTCAATCAATGCCGAACCAATCCATTGCGTGTGATGTGATATGACGTGTTTGTATTTAACATGACGATTCATCAAGGCTCTGTACCATGCAATGAGATGCAATTATGAGTCTCCCACGCAAAGGCATGCTCTTTGCGTGGGAGACCTTGAAAGAGAGAGAGTGCAAATGGCTTTGTTTACTTCTTATCGAAACATGACATGGCACCTATGCATGCAGTAGAGATTATTATAGTGTATTATTGTTGCAATGAATAAAATATTTTTTTTTATTAACAATATTTTTTCCTTCAATTTATTAGTGTCCTCCTTTTCATTGTAAAAAAGTTTGTCACCTTATAAAAGGAATAAAATCTGTAATTCATAATAAAGGAAATTTAATCAACTGTTAGAATAAAATATTCTAAACTTTTGAACATCATTTACTTAAGTAAAAAATTATGGCCCTAAAATTTTATTTAGAAATTAATATTTTTAGATGAAAATGTAGCTAAAATATTGGGCTAAATATCCCGTATTTAATTTTTTCATAATTTTTTATTTCACTTGGTTATTATCATTTAAGGATTAGCACTCTGTGATGGAGTTAAATTATTCTAAACTTTTTGAACTGACTGTATATTGTTAAATGAAGATATCATATACTATCCAAGCTAACAGCTCTAATGTATTTATACAAAACATTTATGGTATTCATTTCCAGGCTGAGGAAATGCACTACATAGACATAATGTAAGATTTGCCAATGTGGAGAAGGGTGAAGTTAATCCCTCTTCTGGTCAAGATGAACAAGGGGTACAAATATAATGTGGGTGTGGTTGTCAACACTGAGACAGTCACTTTTACATAACAAGCCATTTATTTGAAAGAAAATGCTTATATATGAATTATATAATTCCAGTCAAGAATTTCTTCCTTTGGACAGAAACATAGAAAGTTCAGTCTATAGTTCACTATCATCATTTATCCACAGTAATTAGACAGAGTTTTGATCTAAGATCAAACAAAGTTTCAGTGGCAATCGGATGGCCCTTGGACAGACTGACTCAAAATTGCTATTGCTCATTGGAACGAAGTGAAGCAATGAAGATGAAGTCTGAGATGACAGGGAAACAGACACAGAGGACAAACAGATTGAACAAGTGAGAAGCAACCACCTTTGTCCTTGAATTTTGGAGTTTTTAAAGGATTTCTCCCTGAAATTCTGAATTTGATTGGTTATGATTTTCTCTCTCTATCTCCCAATTGGTCCTTTCCTGTTTCCAGGTGAAATGATGACCAGATCAGATGCAGGAAAGATTGCTCTCTGTTAATCAATTTGACATGTTTGTTCAACTTCATCCACAAGTGTTGATCAATCTTTGACACTTTCACTTGTAACTCACTCAATGAAATCTTCTTTTCAGACATCTTAGATTTTTTTTGTTTTGTTTTTATTACTTTCAGTGCAATAGTTATCTTTTAAAGGAATGCTATATTTTATCATTTATTTCCAAATTTTATCATGTCTACAACATCTGAGTTAAAGGTCAATCTTTCCAATTGATTAGAACATCAGTTCATTTTAAACATTCCAACCCATTATTTCGCATCAACTCATGACCTTGCAGGGTCAGTTGTATTGTTTATTTTGTACCTTCATGACAGATCTATTTCACACATTTTTATAACAAAATATTTTCTTAAATGAATAGAATTTTTGTACATTTAATTACAAAATTAAATGTACCTCACAACAGTCTATGATTTCCTATGTAATAATAAGGACCCTATTGATAGGGAAAACACATCTGATATTATTTTCACCTGAAACTATGAGAATCACATCAGCTGATAATTCCTTATGAAAGATAACCTTTATAGTTATATAGCTTATTTTACCCATTTTCACTTGATGCAAGAATTAAGTCCCCCTCTTCCAAGGCTAAAAAGAGAATTTTTAGATGGGTCTAAAAATATGTTCGATTTCCTGCATAAACATAAAAACCACATCTAAAATAGTACAGTAGAAGCCAAGTTCTTCAGGGTAATCTTTAACCCTCTCCCCATGGGGAGGAATTTTCAAGAGTCCCTTCTTAGTGTCCATTCCCATGACATACCCTAACTGTGTACCAAATTTCAACTTTCAATTGGCCATCCATTTTTGTTCCATTTTAAATCAATTGGCCATCCATTTTTGTTCCATTTTGTACATCTGGTGCTAGAATCATTCAGTTGATCACAAGCTGAGAAACATTATATCAACAAAAAGAACAATGTTGCAAACAGACTTCATATTCCTCTAGCACAGAAACTGTGTCTGTTGTAATAATGTGAAATTGCAAGATCTGGCCAGTAGACATACAGGTCATCTGAGTGGTGTTTCTTGAGGAATGGGACTAGCCTCCTCTTGATACATTCTTTTATGTATATTTCTTTCTTGATGCAGAGGGTGAGAGGGTGCTATGAATGCTTGAGATCTTCCTTTTGGACTGATTGCTACCCTTTTTGAGGAAATTTTGCATGCTGTTTAAATTTTACCTCTGGATCAACTTAATCCTTACAATAGTATATGTTGTTCCCAGCAGTCACTTCCACCAAGGATAAAATGCATTGTCAATAATGATGTCAGTCCATTAGAAGCCTTGAAATTGCTCCATGCAAAGAAACAACTTGAATCAAGTTGTTTATTTGTATATTTTGGAACTAAATTTTCACTTCTGAAGGACAACATTTTGCTTGTCTAAAATATTTTTAACATACTGATGAGTTATTTTAAATTTTCTCCCAAGTTTTCCTAGACTGTCTTAATTTTTCTGATCTCTTCTATTTAAAAATACTTCTTTTTGCTATCTGTTGTTTTAATTCTCTTTTCTGTACTTCCTCCTAGACATCTTGCAACAGACTTACCATTTTCCAGCCTTCCTATGATGCTGTAAATTGTTATCCTTGCCATTCTCATATCCAGAAAATGCAGAAAATATCTGTGAAACATCTCCTCCTTCTCTCATATTGTTTGTAAAATTTCCAACTACAATTCTTCTTAGCATTTCATGTACATTTAAAATATTGTTACTATGACAATATGAATTTAAATCTACAGTGTCTGAGCAACAATCTATGTAAGATATTTTCAAATTTGTTTTTAAAAAAGATGCTAAATATGCCTGTGTAAATTGAGCAGATTTTTAATTTACACATTTATATATAAAGGATATACTAATAAATGACTGGAGCAATAATCTATACTACTATATAAAGAGACAACATATTTTTCGTTTGTGACCACTAACCGTGAAAACTACTGAACCAATCGTTACCAAATTTTAACTGTAGCATCTTTATGACCCCCGGAATGTTTACCACTAATCAAACCTGCAGATTTTTTATTAATTAAATAAAACTACAATGGATTTTTGTCTAGGGTTAAGGCTTTTATGTCCAACAGATGGCGTTACGAGTATGACTCCCTAAGTTTGCTTTTCTGTGAGGATGAACTAAAGCAGATCATCTTCTATCTATCTATATAAATAAAAATGTAATGTTCGTTTGTTCCTACCAATTCCTTTGAAAATTTCACACAATTCGAATACGCACGTGTTTTTATATAATATACATGTCGAAATTCCCCCACTGGGGGAGATGAACAGGATTAAGGCTTACCGTAAAGAACTCTGCTTCTATTTCTACTATTTTAGATGCGGGTTTTTGCGTTTTTGATTACGTTTTAATACGGTATGTCAACAGAATATACACTAAAAAGAAATTTTTCGAAAAATTCCCCCCACACGGGGAAAGTGTTATACATTTATAATAGATACANGAACAGGATTAAGGCTTACCGTAAAGAACTCTGCTTCTATTTCTACTATTTTAGATGCGGGTTTTTGCATTTTTGATTACGTTTTAATACGGTATGTCAACAGAATATACACTAAAAAGAAATTTTTCGAAAAATTCCCCCCACACGGGGAAAGTGTTATACATTTATAATAGATACATTTTGAGCCACAACAACGCGTGGCGGGGTCTGCTAGTATGATATATTTTCAAAGAAATTTCAGATGAAAATCAGAACTTTGAAATTGCAAGGAAATTCATCAGATTTTTATTTGAATAATAACAATAACATGCTTCATGAATTATTTCAATTATGAATTTATTATCCTTATACATTATGCCTTTAATAATATGAACTAAGTTCATATTATCAAAAGCAATTTGCAAAAGAAGGCTTTAATTGATTTTAATAAAAGAAATACTTTCATAGATATATATTTTATATTATGAACAGGGCTATGGAAAGGCAAGGGCAGAAGGGGCATGTGCCCAGTGTGAAATTCCAAAGTTGTTATATGGGCAAACTAATAAACTAGAAAAATTGTCAAATATGAATGTGAAAAATTATATTATCATGTGTGTTTGTAATAAAATATACATCATATTAATAAAAAGTATTTTTTTGTGATTTTTAAATTTGTAACAGAGTAATGAAAGGCTTTTCCAAAATGTAGCATATTAAGTTTGTTCCTGGTGCCAAATGCTCTAATCATGGCCTTGATTATGAAGAACATTTTTATTCATATGTATAATTGCAAAATATAATTTATTGATGATAATACAAATTGCATAAATTTAAAAATAAATATTTTTCTTATTTTACTTAGTTGCTCCTATTATGAGAACTCCAATTACTCAAGCAAAAACATGGAATGATAATCCAGTCAACTTAACATGTATTGCAGAAGCTATTCCAAATGCAACAATAACATGGTGGTATAATGGTCAAGAAATTAAAGAAGGAAATCATTTATATGTTCAGTATGGAAAATCATCTTATAGTAATCTTTTGGTTAGTATTTAATATTATATCTTTGTTATTGTTATTGTTTTTTAAAAGCATGTTAATCCTGAAATATGCCTTATATAAGCAAATTCTATTGGATAAATTTTAGAGAGAAAAATTAGTTTTTCAAGTATCACATATCCATAATGACAATTACAACTATATGATGTTATGATGTCTGAACAGAAAAATTTTCTTTTGCAAATATTCAAAATTTTGTTAGTGTTCTTAAATACAATCAGTACATAAGTTAATGAGGTAGACTTTACAGGAAAAATTGATATTTTGAAATGTTCACCAAATACAGTAGAGCGTCGTTTAAACAGACTTCATATTCCTCTAGCACAGAAACTGTGTCTGTTGTAATAATGTGAAATTGCAAGATCTGGCCAGTAGACATACAGGTCATCTGAGTGGTGTTTCTTGAGGAATGGGACTAGCCTTCTCTTGATACATTCTTTTATGTATATTTCTTTCTTGATGCAGAGGGTGAGAGGGTGCTATGAATGCTTGAGATCTTCCTTTTGGACTGATTGCTACCCTTTTTGAGGAAATTTTGCATGCTGTTTAAATTTTACCTCTGGATCAACTTAATCCTTACAATAGTATATGTTGTTCCCAGCAGTCACTTCCACCAAGGATAAAATGCATTGTCAATAATGATGTCAGTCCATTAGAAGCCTTGAAATTGCTCCATGCAAAGAAACAACTTGANTTTTTCGGATAACCGATTATGTATGAAAAAATATATTAACCTATTCCGTATTGAAATTTTTCTCCGTTGCGTGTCACTTCGTGTTGAATTTTCGTCGATGTTAAGCCTGACAAAAACTTTTTAAAATAATAATCGTGGTTATTGTATCGTTAAAAATTAATTTTTTATTTTGTACAAATAAAATAAATATATTGAAAAATATAAAAACCAAAAAAAAATATACTTTATAAGTTATTTTATTTACACTATCAAAAACGTTCGATTCAACATGACACACAGTCCTCAGAAAAACATCACACAATAGTGCCAGTGCTGCCAGATAAAACACACACACCAACAAAAAAATATTGGAGTAGCCCAAGATATAGCCAAAGATTGCAGTGTCACAGCACCAGCGAAAATTTAAATTTGCCAACTGGAATGCTTTTGGATAACCGACTTTCGGATAAATGATGCTCTACTGTAATCACATCAAAATGTCTTATTTTGCTGCTATATAAGATCTGAGAATCCAGATTCTTAAGTAGTTTTGATCAGGTGATCATTTTTATCTCCACTTATGTTAAACCATTACATATCTGGACCATTCATAATGTCATAAATTGAGATTTACTATATAATCAATGTTTTCTGATTCCTACTGTAACAAATCAAATAAAATCACATTCTGAAACTACAACAAGCTATTGTTATATTTTATTTCCTTTAATGTATAAATATATTACAATTTCATATGTTAAATTGTATATTTTCTGTATATGAAATGTTATATTTCTTTGTCTTAATCAATTATGAAGAGAATAATTCTTTAATCAAGAGGAAAAAAACAACTGATATCATTAAGATAAATTAATCACTTTGATTATTATTTTTCCTCAATAATAGTTTGTAAGTTTTATTTTCGAAAATTGTAGTTTAAAATATAATATGGTTTCTCTTTTAGATATACAGTATATTCATATTTATATATATAACTATCTTTTGATTAGTTATATACATAACTGGTCATTCAATTAAAATTCAAAAATTTTTATTTTTAATTAAATTTAAAACTTTTCTGTATTCAAAACTGTAAAATGCTTAATGAATCTATATAAATTATTATGAATTAATTTTTGTTTTAAATAAATTTTTAGATTAATAATCTAGTTATTATTGGATTCTTCTCTAAACTAAAAAGCATAATTTATTTTAAACATTTCTACAAAAATTTTATCTAGTTGTTATCAATGATAAGTTTACTATAATTAGTAAATATAGTAATGTACATTGCCATGATAATTTTACTTTTATTCAAATTAATAATTAAAACAATGATTATTAAAAAATATAGCACATAGAATTGCTACTTTACAGATAAAAATATAAAATATTACTTTAAATATTTTCTATTTATAGGTTAAACCATCAAGGCATCTATCTGGCGGAGATGATGTGTATGGGCCATATCAATGCAAGGCAGAAAATCCTCATGGTAAAAAGGAAATCATAATAGAATTAAAAGAAGCAAGTAAGTGTGTTTTTGTTTAGATAATTATTTTTAATATACACAACATGCAAACAAAAAAGTCAAAGTAGTCAAATTAAAACATTCACACTAAAATTTAGATGGTTAATACAAATTACTTTTTCATTATATTCTAAAACAAAAATTTTATTATTTTAAAAATGAGATTTCAGGAATCATTCATTATATTTTGTCATCCTTGATTCCTTATTTCTATTTTGGATTATCACTAGAATATAATTAAGCAATCAAACTTGCAAACAGAATATCATTCAGTTTTAATTTTTAAATAAAACATAAATATTACTTAATACATAATTAATAGTAGTGAAAAATAGTTCAATTAATTATAGAAATTGTTTGGTTTATTATTAATAATACATCAGGCTTAGTGATGTTTATGTATATAAATATAAAACATAATATCACATGAAAAACTTTTATTCTTCATAATTGTAGATGTTCATCATAGCATTTTTTCATTTATTTAAGTATTGATTTGTGCAACTGTGTTTTAAGTTTATTTCCATAATCAACTGTGTTATTGTTTGCTTTTCTTTAATATACGTTTTATACTATATTATTTCAAAAATTTTTTTTAAATACTTCAATAACTTTNATTTTACTTTTATTCAAATTAATAATTAAAACAATGATTATTAAAAAATATAGCACATAGAATTGCTACTTTACAGATAAAAATATAAAATATTACTTTAAAAATTTTCTATTTATAGGTTAAACCATCAAGGCATCTATCTGGCGGAGATGATGTGTATGGGCCATATCAATGCAAGGCAGAAAATCCTCATGGTAAAAAGGAAATCATAATAGAATTAAAAGAAGCAAGTAAGTGTGTTTTTGTTTAGATAATTATTTTTAATATACACAACATGCAAACAAAAAAGTCAAAGTAGTCAAATTAAAACATTCACACTAAAATTTAGATGGTTAATACAAATTACTTTTTCATTATATTCTAAAACAAAAATTTTATTATTTTAAAAATGAGATTTCAGGAATCATTCATTATATTTTGTCATCCTTGATTCCTTATTTCTATTTTGGATTATCACTAGAATATAATTAAGCAATCAAACTTGCAAACAGAATATCATTCAGTTTTAATTTTTAAATAAAACATAAATATTACTTAATACATAATTATTAATAGTAGTGAAAAATAGTTCAATTAATTATAGAAATTGTTTGGTTTATTATTAATAATACATCAGGCTTAGTGATGTTTATGTATATAAATATAAAACATAATATCACATGAAAAACTTTTATTCTTCATAATTGTAGATGTTCATCATAGCATTTTTTCATTTATTTAAGTATTGATTTGTGCAACTGTGTTTTAAGTTTATTTCCATAATCAACTGTGTTATTGTTTGCTTTTCTTTAATATACGTTTTATACTATATTATTTCAAAAATTTTTTTAAAATACTTCAATAACTTTACTCTTCAATTTTATTTTAATAACTTTTAACCCACCTTCTGGGGCATATGTATCCATGATACTTATGCCCCAGAATGTATGATATATGACATTTTCTTTATTGAATTTCTCAAAAATATATAACAGTTGAACTGCAGGTTTTGTAGTATTCCTCAACTGATATATTTTTAAGTGATTCCTACAGTGGTTTTCAAGTTTATGACCCTTTTTCAGAGAAATTTTACAAAAGATAATACATTACTACCACCTGCAGTAAATTCTTTCACAGCATGAAAGCACTGTACTCTTGATTGTTGCACATAACAATTGCAAATCAATAAAATAACAATGTAGAATATTTAAACTTTACTACAGTGCTACACATTCTAACTTTTTCTCCTGGTTTCAATGACTGGACCAATCCCAATTCATTTCAAATAAGTCATTGTAGCTATTTTTGACAATGTGATTTTCTTGTTTTCTTGCTTTGGTGTTATCATCCTGCTTTCTGGTGATCAGAACATATTCAATTTTGCAATAATTAAAATTTATGTTCATTATGTAGCAATACCAATTAGTAATTGTTCCAGTACCAAACATATATTTGGTAATTTTATCAATATTTTTAAAATTATTAAAAATAAAATTATAGAATTCGTTACTGGCAATACTAGTTGTTAAATCTAAAAGAAAGCATTCTCCTGAATGCAAGAAAACAATTTGTTAGTCATTTGACCCACTATTGCAAAAGAAGAGCATTGTTGAAAACAAAGTAATAAAACAATTTATTACTTTGTTGTCCTTCACAATGGAGGACCAGCAGAGTCCATTACTTTCACGGGAGAAAATAAAGCTTTACTACCCTGAAGTTGAAAGATAATACTATCCTGTGAAATTTAACAAATCTGATGTCAATAAGTGAAAGTTGAAATTTTATAAGTTTAGTTTTTTGCATTTACAGATCAAATTACAGAATATATAAATAAAAATATCATTTTTTTTAAACCCACAATTTTTTTTTATACTGTTAGATAGTATAGAAAGTGTAGAAATCAAAGATATAATTGCAGTCAAGCATATGTATCAGTAAAAATATAAAAATTGCATTAATTTGCACTATATTTCCCACAGATATGCATGCCCCAAGTGACCTCACAATATGCACCATCTTTAAACTCCATTATAATAAGTTTTTATTATATATATTCTGGTTATTTTAATATAATTCTGTATTTCTTTTTAATCACAGTCACTTTCAAAGTCTTTCACATAAAAATTTTTTTTCTTTCCCAATTATATCTTTATTAGCAGACAGTTAAAAAGTGAGTACTAGCACATATACAGTTGAAATTATCAAATATCCCACATTTTAAATATTCATCTGATACATCTTAGCATTTATATTTCTACAACATAAATCTCTTGATCTTTATTAGATGGCATTTTGTATTATGTAATATGGATTTTGTAATTTATATGTTTTTTTATCCAAACAAAAAATCTGAGATATAAAAAATTATGACAATTTAGATGACAGTCAAATTTTTTAAAAAAGAGTTTTCCTTTGGTAAAAATATAATCTTCATAATTTGAAACAAAATGTAGAGAACCATGATAAAAGTCTCGTGGCTACCACTTTGAAGTACCAAGCTTATCTTTACCATAGAAAAACACCTATGAAAAAAATTTGACTGTCATCTAAATTGTCATAATTTTTAACATGTCAGATTGTTTGGATCAATTGTTTTTTGATTAAAATTAATAATTAAATTTTTATACTATGCATGGATTTCTGTACATTAATACAATGACGTCATAAAATCAATGCTGGTACAAAACAATGATGCTATCTATGTTAAGTTATTTATACTTTTTGTTGTGATCATTAAATATAAATGGCATTTATGTTTATGAGTTAACATAGTTCATATTGTGTTATTACATCAAGACCTAAGATGATGATGTAAAATTCAGTCAGTGCTTGGTGATGGCTGCTGATCGAATGCTTTGAATATGCTGTTAGTAAAATTGTTATAAAAAGTTTGCATGAATTTGAGCTTTTCTTATTCTGAATAACATTTTGAATAAAAGTTATTTGTTTCAATGCAATTTTATCCTTATAAGCATAAGATTAAGTAATAAAATAGCTCTATCAGAATCCACCCAGAAGTTTCATGAGCATCTCACTGATAATGAAAGAGGTTTAAATTTAAAATTTGAGCTTTCTAGACCCAGTAGTTTTCCTCTACAAGCCTCTGTATTGTTGGATGAAGAAAAAGAAGAAAATACAACTTTTTTGGAGATTTTTGCACTTTTCAATTGCTTAAATTTTAGCAACCGAATTATAGAAAAATCTGAAATTTCGCATACTACCAAAGACAATTATCTTTTGAATGAGATATTCAGAATTACATTAAGCATTTGGGTGCATAAAAAACAATTCCTGAAAATTGGTAAATCTGATTCTTTGATTCCTGTGTGTGTGTATGTGGGTGTAGGTGTACACCCACACACACACTGACTGCTGACTGAATATACAGTGAAATGTCAGTATAACGAAATTGAGAAGACTATCAAAATATTTTCATTATATTGAAATACAGTCAAAAATGCAAGGATAAAAAAATTACTTACATTTTGAAGTAAGAAAGTTTTTAAAAATGTAATTTTGTCTATTAGTATTTATATGGAACCAAATTTCACATTTTCAGAATATAAGTTATATTGTACTGTCTGCACTTCAACAGAAAGACCAGCTGGGCATGCAACTTACGCCACAGCTTTTCCAGATTCAACATGGAATAGAATATCCAATTTTAGTACTCATCTTGTAAGATAACTTACACACATATGGTGGATGTCATGCCAATACTTGTACTGATTCAAGGGAAATTTCACACAAAAAAGATGTTAGAGCCACCAAAAAGTACAGGAAGCGGGAGCTAGTGTACACTAAGTCGCCTTTTTTCCCATGAGGCTATGAGCCATTTTTGCTAGGTAAGCTATGTGGGCAAGAAGCAGCTGCAAACTATATAACGTTTGCTCTTGTAACTTAGTCCACATGATGTGGATTCCACAGATGTGGATTAGCTAGAGAACAAGATTTTATTATAACCTATACTTGTAATCAGTCAGTTTTCGTTCCAAACTTTGAAACAGCATTGGAAAAACATGTTTACTAGTTAAGCCTAGTTAGGCTTAACTATCCAAAAACTATTTATATATAACTATTTACTATTTATATACAACATTTATACTATTTTCTTTTCAATACTGAATGTATTAATCATGTAATTTACATACATCGATAAAATTCTATTATTTCTTTTTCGACATGTGACATGTTCATGTAATCAGCCATCTTTCCCGCTCTCTCTTGCTAGCATGACTATTCTATCTGTTGAATTCTGTGAACAGGCGTGTACTCTTGTATTTCTGCACTAGCAAAGGAAAAACCACGCTGTCAAGAAGAAATTGGCAGAGCCTTTGACATCATCAGTTGTGCTAGTGCACATTTGCTAGCATTTTGCTCTTGCAAAGCACTAGTTTGCAGTGGCTCTTAAGGACCATTTTTTAGATAGAAGTCCGTTCTTCTCTACCATTTTGTGGCCATCTCACAGCCTGCATTTGCTGTATATTTAGGCAAAATGTTTGCTTTTACCCATTTCCTTGTGCCAAGTCTGAGGAGACTTTTATGTAATGACAGGGATGCATTTTTAATTCTGGAAAAGTCTGGTGTATATTCTATTTAGTGAACCCAGTGTCTGGGGTACACACCCACTATATAGGGCAACCACCAGAATGCTCTCTAGCTGCATTTCTGAGCATCAACATTCTGTCGCAGTGGGGAGGTGTGACACTGAGCTGTCCAGGATGGTATTGCAACACCATCACACCCTGCTTTGGGACCAGGTGGCAATGCTCAGGTGCTGTGATGAATGGGGCCTAGTGTACAATTTGGGAGGCCCTTTTCACCATGTTGCTGTCACCTTGCAACTCCCCCACCCTGAATTTTCCTGGAATTTGGATTAGTCTATACAAGTGATTAAAACATCAATATTAGCTTTGTTCCTACCTTCTCCACCTACTCTGCATATTAAGTCGCATGCACATTGTTGTTACATATATTTCAAATTAAAGTTTTAAGTTTTCTTGTTCTAAATGTTGTTATGTTCCAAACAGCTAATGCCATTCTTATTTCAATATAAGAATGGCATTAGTCTGTTCAATTTCATATCTTTCTGAGGACGACACCCATTACTGTGTCAAAAGTGCTTGCAGAAAAATAAAACATTCCTTAATGCCTTTTTTTTTGTGTAAGTTATATTAAAATAGAATAAAAATTAATCTGTAATAAAAAATTATCAAAAAATATCATGAGTGAACAACTAAAATAACAATATAGTATTACTGATTAGTTGGAATCCTGCCTCATTAATTGTTATTTTTTCAAGCCATTATTTTAAAGAAGTCTAATTTTTGTGAGTAGTTTTTCTTTAATCAATGTATTTTGATAAAATCCAGTACTGTAACAAAGTATTCCAGTAGGCAGTCAGGCACATCTTTTTGTTTAATTCCTTTTTGAATGTTATCTAATATATTATTATTCTCTTCCGAAGAAAACTGCTTTTGTTTTTAGTTTTTCTCCATTTTTTATTGTGAACTTAAAAAGAAATAAACTGTAGAGTAATAACATCATAATGAAACCATAACTAAGGATTAAAATTAGCATTGCCAGTTAAACTAGATATTAAAACTAATGTTGCATCTTCATTGATTTGATGAAAGAATCAATATGCAAGTTGTTTGTTGTTTGATAGGATAAGCAGTACAATTTGAGTGATCTGCCAAGGGGAGATGCTTTCCGGGAGAACTTTTTATGGGAAACTGGACCCTACTTAGGTGTTACAAACATGAATAAAACCCAGAAAACTTCATGTGGATAGCCCAGGGGTTGGCAGTTTGTCAAGTCAGAAGTGCCAAATTGTCATGGAAACAGTATAACAAAAGTACCAGAGAGCTGCATATATAATGCGCACCAGAGAGATGCCCCTAGTGCGCGTTACAGGCATTCCGTGACAATAATAAATTCCTATTACAAATATACTGAATTATTTATATTGTTATAGGCTATTGGCCAAATGAATAATAATAATTTATACTGTTAATTTAAATGTGCAAAATACGACACACGACAGGGGTACCTCTAGTGGCCGATTTTGGCATAACGTCACACGGACGGACACGTGTTCAATGGGTTATGTATATATAGATAGATATGCTTCAAATGCTGCCACTCGCATGTGACTCATATTGATCAACGCGAGTGTGGTCATGTATGGACAGGCTAAAGAGTGGTAGTGAGTATGCCATACGAGTCGAAGTTTGTTCGGCAGCTCTATCTCATAAATTCATAAGTTATAAGGCTGTGGTGAAATGAGGTGAGGTGAAATTGGAGTTTATGTTCGGAGAGCTGCAAATGTCTATGCGAAGAGCCGCATGCAGCTCACGAGCTGCTAATTCCGACCCCTGGGCTAGCTTATTGGCAAGTCACAAACCCACAACAAACTACCAGGTTTCAATGATTTTATCCAAAAAGTTATTTGTGGGTGCGATTCAGAAGTGATGAATAAAACTTTTTAGGTGATTAATTATTCTTTAATCTCTTTTTAAATTTAATAATTATAAATAAATAACAAGAGATGACAGCCTAACTGCCTATCTCCTGCCAAATTACTAAGTAATTATTACCCTTAACAGCTCAATAAAGGAATCCAACTATTCATTTGATTGGATTGAATGTTTGGATTATAAATTTATAATCCAAAATATTAAATATGTTAACTTATTCCATCTATTCTGTATATTGTTATATTGTAAACTCACAATGACATATTTGAAGATTCTAATTTTGAAGAGTATAATTAAACTCTTGAAAAATTTTTCTTTATTTATTTAGAAGTACCTGCTGCTCTTCTCCAAACTAGAGTGATAAAGAAAACCGCAACTACTATTACATTTATGCTTGTGGGACCAAGAGATAATGGAGGCATGGCAATTCGTGCCTATGTAGTAGAATTTAGGAAAAAAGATGAACCTCCTGATGCTAGTGTGCAGCGTGAATGGAGTGAAGGTAATATGAATAGTTAAGTTATATAATATTGTTATAAGTAGACAATGATATATTTATTAGATTAATTAATCAAATAAATACATATGTATTCTATACATGTAATAATACAGATTTTAAATTAGACTAATAAATTATTATATTTAAACAAAACATAATTACAAATAAATATAGCATAATGAATTAGAAAATAAGTGTGAGATTTGCCGACATGGAGAAGGAAGAGGTTAAAGGATTTTTCCCTGAAATTCTTAATTTGATTGGTCCCAATTTTCTCTCTCCATCTCCTGATTGGTCTCTCCTGTTCCAGGTGAGACTAGACCAGTGTTCTGCAAGCTTTTTCTATTCGCGGCACACCCATGACTCGACATGTCTCAACACGGCACACCAAAATGTTATTCCCCTCAAAAGCGTTATGATATGATACTATTAATAGAATTACGTAATGCCACTAACCTATTATTATTATTAAACAGACATCAACACCTGTGAGCAAATTTATTTTACTTTTAATTTCTTAAAATACATAAAAATGCGTGGCTTGTAATAAAGAATAAACGAACATCATCTTATTACACTTGAAATACAAGCATAAGAAGCACAGCAACTGTGATAAAAATATATAAATAAAGCTTGAAATTAATAGAATATGTAAAAGTTCACATCACACCTTACACCTTGTGACGACATACCAGTGTGCCACGGCACGCCGATTGTGGAACACTGGACTAGACAACCAGATCAGGCATGGGAAAGATTGCTCTCTGTTATTAATTTAACACCTTCATTCGACTTTGTCTGCAATTATTGATTTAATTTTGAAACTTTTGCTCATATCTCACATGGTGATATTTTCTTTTCAGACACCTAAGAATTTTTTCGTTTTTATTACTTTCAATGCAATAGTTTTCTTTTAAAGAAATGCTACATTTTCTCATTTATTTCCAAATTTTGTCTTCAACATTGAGTTAAAGTTCAATTTTTCTGATTGATATTCTAAACAGTCCAACCCATTATATTGCATCAACTTTTGACCTCACAGGGTCGACCATATTGTTTATTTTGTACCTTCACAACAGATCTGTTTCACACATTATTTTATAACAAAATATTTTTTAAATGAATTGAATTTTTGTACATTTAATTTGGGATTCGGACTCTGTCTGGAACCTCATGTAAGTGATTAAGTTTATATTATTTCAGATACTTATTGTCTGTTTATTTTTTCTAGATACACCATACATTTTAGACAATCTAAAACCTCGTGTTGCCTATAGATTTAAATTTGCTGCAAGAAATGATGTAGGCATCGGAGAATGGACTGAAGAAATGGAAGAAGTAATGCCTCCAGAATCATATCCCGAATCTCCCAAATTTATTACACCTGGTGGGAATATCAGCAGATATCCAGATAGATTTGAAGTTCGGTGGACTGTTCCTCAGGATAATGGAAAACCTATTGATTACTTTCAAATTAGATTTTTTCAGGTTATTTATTTATAGTTTCATCATTTAAATTATATAAAAATATAATTTAAAATATTCTTTTTTAACTAGATAGTATATAAATCTTATTTAGTTAATTTTTATTATAATATTCCATTTTTGTATAATAAAAAATCTAATTTTAATTTTCAATATTCCATTATAATTATACCATATATAAAAATTTACTGTAAAATATAATCAGACTAATTATTTTTAGCTAGCACTATCATACATACAGAGTGATTCAAAAAGAAATTGAACTTACTAATATTTTTTTTTCCTTTTATAATTAACATGGTATATACATACTTATAGGACAACCTACAGAGTTTTTCATTTTTTTGGAACACCCCACTGTCTTAGTGTCATTGGAAAGAACTACAGTGGCTATTGGTCAAAAAATGGCTTCTTCCTGGATAAGTGTTTTGTGTCATAGAATTCATGAAATCAGAGTTTATAATGACAATTTGTTGCATATATGCAAATGTAAAAGCAGTGGAATGCAGGCAACATCAGCAGAATGGATAAAACAAATTCAAGAAGCATTTAAATGCAGTTCTCAGAAATCAATAAATCAATCCAACATCTTGATATTTCACAACCCACCAATGTGGAAGGTGTTGAGGAAAATCTTCATTTGAAGCCTTATAGGTTTCAGTGGCTTAAAGGATAGTGAAAAAACTTGGTGCAGACAGTTTCACATTGACATAAAATCTGATAAAAGATGATGCATTTCATGGTTAATTAATCTTTAGTGATGAGGCCAATTTTCAATGTCACATTTGTGGTACTTGAGAACAAAAAAAATGAATGTGTTTTATGCCTTGTTGAAGGAAAACTTTGTGAGCCTTTCTTTTTCTAAGAATCATCAATCACTCCATGTACTCCAGATTTGGACATGCAACAGCTTGAAACCTAGAGTTGCTGTGGTGGCCACCACAATCACTGGAATTAACCCTCTACAATTTCTTTTTGAGGGGATTTTTAAAGGATACAGTGTATCAATGCTTATTGCCCAGGAACATGACTGAGCTATGAGGAATGAATCTAGGCAGCTATGACAAAAATAAATAAAGGAATGCTGGACAGGGTATGGATGAATTCGATTATAGACCAGCTATCTATCATATGACCATACATATACATACAAAACATCTCTGCCTGTACATACTGATATGTACCATTATGTATTCTGTTCAATAGAAGAGAAAACATAATTTTTCTTAAGTGTCAGTTTCTTTTTGAATCATCCTTTATATAATTAGTTTTGTTTGAAAACAGTTATATATTGATATATTAAACAAAAAATGTCATACACTTGTAATTTTAAACTGCCTTTCAGAATGAACTGTTTTGTAGTTTTGAATTTTCTATGTAAGTCTTTAACCTGTTCTATAAAATTCATTTTCATTAATGTTCTTGAAACTACTATGTTAAAATCTTCTCAAACTCAAAGGTTACCTACTTATAGTGATAAACTTGTGAGAAATCTGGCTCTATATTAATCATGTCTATTTTCAGACTCACTTTTGCAAAGACATGTTTCAAACAGTAAATTTTGGGAAAATATTGCCCTTAGTGATGAAAAAATTTAATCTTAATGGCTTTGATTGGGCTTTATTTTTTATAAGTATGATCTACAAAAAGATCCACAGTTTCTTTCTTGTCGTATTCAGGGTAGCTGTTGTTTAGTTATGGACTCCTTTTACAGTATAAGCAAAGTTAAGTTTAGCATTTGTTTTTGCATTTGCTGGAATCAAAACATTCTTGGAAATAATTGTTGCCATTAAGAGATGAGCTGAATAATGCAAACTTTATATTCCAGAAAGATAATGCACTTATCCATAGTGCACATTCAACTTCAGTTAACAGAGAACATTAACACATTGAAATGGCCAGTATATATTCCTGATCTCAACCCAATAGAGGATCATTGGGGTGATCTTGCATGCATAGTGCATAGTACTGGAAAGCAATATAACAACAGCAAGAAACTGAAAGCAGTCATAATCTCTTCTTAGAATAGTATTTCCTCTGAACACCTGTTTGCCCTAGCAATTACTATGGCTTCATGTATTACATGAAGACAATAATTGAAATTGTAATTATTAAACAATGTAGTTTTTATTTTTTATTTGTAATATTTCCAGTTTATTATTATAAAAAAAAATAATTTTAAATTACTGTATTACAAAAAGTAATAAATAATTTAGTAATCAGTAATTTTACTTTTTGTAAATACAGTCAACCACCCTATAACGCGGTAGATATGTTCCACTTTATTAGAATTTCGCGTTGTAGCAATGGCGTCATCCTTAAATAGGAATCCTTAAATACATAAGCCAATCACAGCCCGGCACGTATGCAGTTTACAGACTACAGCTATTTGAAAGGTTTTCTTCCATAAAATTAATTGATTCTAGACTAATTTGACACAACATTTCTAAAACATGTATAATTTTTTTGGGAATAATCCGTATAAACTATGCTATAAACAAAAAATTGTAGGATTACTTACCAAGTGTGCACCGTTCGACGATGCCATTGCTTAAGCTTGTTTTTGTCGCGGAGCAGCGCACCAAACGGCAGGTGCGTTTTCTGATAAGTTATTTTTCTGCGAAAAATTTGTTGAACTTTGGAGACATCATTAATAGAAATAATTTTTATGGCCATTGAATAAGAAATGTTTTTTTCACAAGAAATGTATAAAATTACAGTACTGTATTAGACTTACAGAACCTAATTCATATACTGTACAGACAATAGTAAACTCAACTTACCTGCCTAAACTCTCCGTAGCACGTAAGTAGTTCGGCTGCTCATCCACTATTGGTCCAGATTCGACCAATCCTGTCGCGACACGAGTTAACGATGACGTTTTACCGCATTTTATGAGTCCCTTTTAGTGTCTTTATACGAATACGGTCGCAATTTTTTCGCCGCGATATACGAATCCGCATTATATGAACCCGCGTTATAGCGGGGTCTACTGTATATGCTCCTTCGTTTTCTT